ATCTGAAAAGATTCTTAAGTAACTATTCCTCTCTTCCAATGATATATCTATATTTCTGTGTGAGGCCATATTTCCTTAATTTACTTCACCCGGAACAACGTATTGAAGCAGATTAAAAGCAGATCCTGATATGAGAACCCAGCTGTCTTCCATTAAACCAGACATTAAAGAGATTGGCAAAACTGTAGAACAGTACCACTCTAGTTGAATTTTCTTAAAAGAATAAAATATAATTATTTTTAAATATATTATTTATATTAATATGTTCAGGTATATTATTATTTTGAATGAATTACTTAATATTTTTAAAAATTTACTACATTTATTGCTTAGATAATAAATATTGGTAGATACAGGTGACAAAAACCAAAGTTCTTTGAAATTCTCAGTAATTTGGGGGAAGTATGACACCAAAATACTGAGAACCTCTGTGCACTAGTTTCCTAGGGTTGCAGTAACAAAGTACCTCAGACTGGGTGGTTTAAACAAAAGAAATGTATTCTCTCATTGTTCTGAAAGCTATAAGGTGCTGATTAGGCCATGTTCTTCATGAAAACTGTAGGGGAGAGTCTGTTCCATGCCCTTCTCTTAGCTTTTGCTCTTGCTGGGAATCTTCGGCATTCCTTGGCTTGCATCTGCTCAACTCCAAACTCGGGTTTCTTCTTTCTGTCTGTGTCTGTTGTTTCTTAGGACATCAGTCATATTGGTTAAATGGCCCACCCTACTGCAGTATGACCTTATCTGAACTTACATCTTAATTACATCACAAAGACTATTTCCAAATAAGATCCCATTCACAGGTACAAGGGATTAGGACTTCAGTATATCTTTTGGAGGATACAATTCAACTGACGATAAACCTGTTTAATAGACACACTTAGCATGAAGACACATTGCCTTACAGCCTTTCTTTTCTGTTGTTGCTCTTTTGTTGAGATGTTTTTGGTTTTTTTTTAAAGATTTTATTTATTTATTTGAGAAAGAGAGAATGAGAGACACAGAGCACGAGAGGGAAGAGGGTCAGAGGGAGAAGCAGACTCCCTGCTGAGCAGGGAGCCCGATGTGGGACTCGATCCCGGGACTCCAGGATCATGACCTGAGCCGAAGGCAGTCGCTTAACCAACTGAGCCACCCAGGCGCCCAAGATGTTTTTGATTTTTTAAACCTTCTTTATGCTATGCCGTTGTGTAGTTGACACTCAGTAAATGATTGCTGAATGAATTGACCACTGGATTAATTGATCAACAGGACCTTGTAAGGGACCGCAGAGATTCCTTGATTATTGCTTATTTGCGTCTCTTGAGACTTCAAGGATCCTTCATTTTTATGCATTGTGTGACATAGTTTCCTACTTGATTTCCTTCTGGAAAGGCAGTGTAATATATGGAATGAATGTGGAATTACTTACAGATAGCCTTGCCTGCTTAAAATACAAAGCCCATCATTTTGGTAGAAGTACAATTTTGAGCTTATTACTCCACATCCCTCAACCTCATTCTTTCCCTATAAAGATAGGAGTAAAAATGCTGCCCTTAGAAATTTTGTAAGAATTAAATTCGACAACCTATATGAAAGTCTGATGTAGTGTTCCAGATCTGGTTGCTCAGAGGAATCCACTCTGAATTCTGAAAGTCTGGGAAGGAGCCCAGGGTTGTGTATTTTTGACAGGACCTCAGGTGAGGGTGTGTAGACAGGTTTGAGAAGTAGCAGTGCAATGTATTACCCACACGAGGAAAATCAGACTGATTACGTGCAGTGCTGGAATGGATGCCACTTCCATTAACCTGTCTGGATATCAAAACCTTTAGTAGAGATCTCAAGTAGGGCAGACCCAGTTCAGGTGACAAGTTATATATAACAATACACTAAGGATTTCTTGATAAGAGACATTATAATTATTTCTTTTTGGTTTTGGTTTTGGTTTTGTTTTTGAAAAGGGAGTTTGTTGAGAAAGACTACATCTGTTTCCTTTTCTTTCCAATGGAAGGCTGCTTTTTCATTAGAATAAGAACTGAAAATACATCTCACTTTCAATAAAACCATGACAATATCCTGGGTGGAAGGACACAAAAGCCTCCTTGGGGGGTAGTCCTGTTGCCAAACTTCAGCTTTGAAGTATTGTGTACATTGTAAAACTCCCTGGCTCAGTGCTTGGCATAGATTAGAGGCTCAACAATTGTTAGATTCTCTTCTTCTCAGTTGTCTTCAAACAAACATTTTGGGTCATGGATATGCTAAAAACCAATAAGGTGTTTTGTTTCATTTTTTTTTTTTTTCTAGAGCTCTTGGGTGTGCAGTAGAGACAATGTGTCAGAAGTAGTTTGTACTTCCCTAAGGTAGTCAGCGGAATGCTGAAGCTATTTACTTAAAACTAATTATTAACAACTTAAATAGCATTTCAAGAGAAAAGGGAATCAGAACTAGATGCTTATGTTTTTAAAAACGATGAAGCAAAGCTATAATGTTGGCATTTTGCAGTACTTTCTTATTTGGTTATACATTTCAGGAAAATATTTCTGGTATTAAAGTTCAAAATGAGCTAAGCTTAGCTTCAAGGGGCAACACGGAGATTCCTGATACTTTCGTTTTAATGGTAGCGCAACACAGCATAGAGCATCTGAGCTCATATTGTAAATGACATCCTCTGGTCTTTTCCAACAGACAATGTTGTCCAGTGTTCTTTTTAAATCAAACAAAATCTTTGTACAGGTTTCTTTCTGACAGCAGCCCAAGTTGGAGATCTTGCTGTAAGGTGGATTCCAATTTGAAAGGGGGGAGGAGCCCAAAAGGAAGAAGAACCCCTTAGATTTTCCAGTCACTGCCTGGTGAGGCATGGCAGCCTGACTACATGATAATGTTGCTTGGTTAGAGTGTGTTAGCGCTTGGTTTGGATCAAGTCACGGGCGGCTCAGCTGCCTGCCTGAAAGAGATCTGCTGTAAATTTACTTATTTATCCCATTAGATGCACCCATCACTTCATTGTCTCTGGTCACATTTACAAGAGCAATAAAAAAAGCTATATGGTTCTCTCCCGGCAATTGGGTAGAGTACCTTGAGTTCAAAGAAGATGTAAGAGTGTGGAGTTCAACTGCCGCTTTCTTAAAAAAAAAAAAAAAAATCTTAACATTTTTTTCTTTCTTTCTTTTTTTTTTAAGATTGTCATGCAATAAAATTACAAAGGCAGAGTATGTACTTTTAACTGGCACGTTAAAGAAAATAAAACTACAGAAAGTCTTTCACATTCTCTTTCAGGGCAGTCTATGTTAAGGGGAGACTTCTTAGAATGGGCACTATGGGAGGGGACCAGTTCCCACATCCCCAGTAGCACATCCCATGTGAAGACATGTCCTTGATCAGACACGCTTTTGAATTTAATTGAATTGATTCAGATTAATGAGCATGCCACAGCATCCAGCAGATCTGCAGTTGCTGCATCGTGCTGCGTATGCGGGTTTTCTATCGAATTTTAAGTGGGTTAGGTGGCTCCTTTGAGCACGAAAACATGCAGTGATAAAGAAGTCTGTGGTATGCATATGGGTAGACACGCTAACATGCATGGACAGAAGTGTGTCAAGAGCATCTCAATAACTAGACAGGTGAAGTGGTACAATAGCCAAGTTAAAGGACATAGATTTCACTCAACATCTGGTTATTAATTATTTCCTACATATATACACGATGATAACAAACACAATTAAGCTAAGACATGGTAATCTGCTCACTTGAGCTCAGAATTTCTAGTTCTTTGTTATTTCATTTCACTGAAGTGGTAAGCCACAACATGTGTCAAATTATGTCAAAGGAAGATGAGAGGGGGAAAAAACCCACTATAATTGACCAAGGATCAAGGCAAATGAAGGATATACATTTTGAAATCATTTCTAACATAATAAATTACCTGTGCTTCAAGTACCACAGAACCTTCAAAGGGCACATCAGAATGTGTACAACAAATCTTCTTTATCCCCTTCTAATTGATTCCACTGTTCCCATTGCAAACCAACAGTGAAAAAATACTGAATTTTTCTTCTTTTATTTAAATATTAATATTGGTAAGTTTCTGTTTACTACATTTTGTGGAAAATTATATAGCTAACATGTCACCAACAATGATGGAAGAGATTTCGTGCCTAACTCCATAAACGAATAACTATTTAAATAGATTTCCTTTAGAAAAATCCCAAAGACATTTCCTTTAAAATTTTGTTTGAGTTTATTACTATATGAAATCATCTATTCTGGGTCTCTGGGGATAAAAAGATTAATCTTACCAACTAACACCTTATATCCTAGTTGTAGAGATAACACCAGGGCATAGGTCAATATAATCTAAGAGGAAAATAAATACAACAATAATAGTACACTTACATTTGAAAGTAAATTCAGAAGAAGAAATTATTTCAGAGAATTTAATTCTTTTTAATAAATCTTTTTTGGCCAGATAGGATATAAAAAAAATTTGCTATGTATTGGGAATTCAAAGATGAGTTTGGATTAATCTTTGGCCTTGAGGTGGGTAATACACTGTGGAGAAGATAATTGTGAATCAGGGAATTGATGAAAGAGAGGAATGCAGAAATATATAGATGTAGAAAAACTAATTCTCCTGTTCTTGCTTGAGAATATTAGGAGGATGAGGGCCCATTAATGAGCACATCAAATAAGAAGGCCTTACTGTGTGAAGGTTGCTTGACAGGGACAGGTAGGAAACAAGATTGGAAAATGGAGCAGAACCAGGCCATCAGGGACCTCCGAGGGCTCCAGGTTTTCAGTTCAATATCTAAGAATTTGAACATGAGTCTGAGAATGTGAGCAATAGGATTGGAGAGCTCTGATCTAGAATAACAAAATCTGGGTTTAGAACAAAGGTGTTTGGATTAAAAAAAAAATGAAAACCTAGAGGTAGGGATCTACTTATAAGTTATACCATTGAGCGGGAGGGAGAGGGTTTGAGGGAAGTTATGAGGGGCTATGTGGTATCCTCAGTGGAGTTATAAAAAATGGATGCAAAAAGATGCTACAGAGGCAAGAATAATGCTTCGATAAAAATTGATATGGGAGAAAAAGGGGGTGGAATCAAAGCTAATGCTGAGTATTTAAACATGGTTAACATGGAGGTTGGTTCAATTAATGCAGAAATAAAGGAACTGGAAGAAAGAATTTGGAAGAACAGGTGGACTGAACTCGAAGAGCTGATGGGTTTCTACAGTGTATGCCCAGCAGGCAATCAGAAATCTGGGCCTGGATCTCAGGAAACAATCAGGGGTGGAATAAACATTTGTAAATCATTTGAAGAGAACTATAATCCGAAGTCATGAGATTTAACAAGATTGCCACGAGACACAGAGCCAGGGGTAGATCTCAGAACAGCCACAGTGGGAGTCAGGAAGTGGGACACAAAAGGAAGCAAGCAAAGGAAACAGAGGAGAGCCAAGGGTAGAAAGGGTTTACACAGGGCAGCATGGGGTCAGATTGCAGCGCATAAAACAATGTCTCTTTTGGAACACACTCGTGTTTTATTTGGAAATAGCCAGTATGTATGTTTTGCCCTCATCTTTACCCGGTATACAAGGAATGCTCACTGATTCTCAGACATTCCTATTTTGAAAATACGTTTGGTTTCCCCTAAGCTAAAAAATGATGCCTTGAACTATGTTTACATCTAGTGTATAGTGTGGGTTTACCAGTCTCGTGTCCACAAGTCACTTTCCTAAATATGCATTTTCAACAGTTGGTCTTAAGTAGCGGTAATTAAAGTTGACATCCGACCTGCATTGAAGGAGCTTCAACAGCTCTTGTGCCGTATACTCAGCACTGCAGGTCACCTAGAAACAAAATACCCTGGGAATGTGCAGAAACAGAGTTAGTGTTTGGCCTGAAGTCACTGATGCGTCAATGCAGGAAGGAATGAGTTGATAATAACTCGAAGCTGTGGACCCACCTCCCTCACTTTCTTCTTTCTTTTTATCTTTTCTCTCTTCTAAGTCTTCAGTTAGTCTAAGTAGAGTAAATTCACACTTACATAATGAACTAAAATGACTTCATGTGAGAAAGGATCATTATATTCTCAACATATTTTTTTCTCCCACAGCACCTACATGCACACAAATAGAGAAATATATTTAGGAATGGGATTTTTGTTGACAGTAGTTTTCTTTCCATCTCAAATATCCTCTATTCCCGCTATACACGGCTTTGTTTCAGACTTAGGCCTCGGAAAATGTTAACATTTTAGTATCATTACTTAAGCATCTAAATAACAACCATACTTGCACAAATTCCATGTTTTATGTATCTCTTTGTTTTACACAACAGATTCATTTATTTTAAGTAACTCTCAATTATTTCTGAACTAATGCAAATTGGTCTAGTTATTTCACCTTCAGAAAAAATATAAGGTTGTCTATTTCTTAGTCTTTACTAAGATATAATATTTATTTGTTTTCTCAGACTTTGAATTGTGAAACATCTGAACCTCTTAGAAATATTACTTGTTCCTGGAGGAAAAAAAAGCACCAGGATCCCAACTACCATCCACCTTGTGTGGTCACTGGTCACTGTCTTCAGAATCTCAGGCTGTTTTTCAAGTCCTTGTTTGTCTTTCGGGTGACCTTTCTTGTGAAAATAGGTTACCTTGTTACTCTGAATATCAATTACAATGTCCTTGACTCCCTCTTGATAGTATGGAATTGAATTCCTCTTCCATTGAGTGTCTACAATAAAGGACTTATTCAGCAGGCTGAAGATGGTGTCATTTGAAATGGCGAAAGGAAGCCCTCATTTTCATTCCAATTAGCAAAGAAGGGAGAGAGCTGCTGTTTTACCCCTACTTCTCATTGCCTAGGAAAGGAACGACATGGGAAATTGGGACCCCAGCCCCTGCCTAGGCTGGTCAAAATCAGATGTATCTAGCAGGCAAGAGGCAGTTTGTGAATATGGAAGCCTGGCTTTCAAATTGTCTTGGGTTATTTACCAACATTTTCCCCAGAGGGAAACACAGTGCAATGATCCTTCCCTTAGTAATAAGATTTTTCCATGAAGGCAAGTTAAGAGTGGAATAGAAGGAGCCTGAGTGAGAGCTATGATTGTCTTGTGTAAACAGAAAGCTCCATGTTGCTTGTTAGCTGTTCTTTACCTTTTAGGACAGACAGAGACCAAGAAGATACTAATATTTGTAGATGAGGTCAATTGCTTATTTTCCCCAATAGGTGAATGTAATTTTTTAGTACTGATATGATCTTACTTTTATGGACTCTCTTCCTTGCCATCAATGTATATTTATGTGGGGAAATATTGTATTTTGTTTAGTTCCAAAGGATTAATTAAAAATAAAGTATTATATTTTAAGCAATTTAAAAAATTCTATTTGCACCCAAATGAAAGATATCATGTGCTCTAATTAAGTAGTTTTAGAGTCATACTAAATTCACTAGAATAGAAAGAAATTATGAAATATTTGAGATGCAAAAAAAGAGTAATGTATACAATCTGAATTGTATACTCCTGTCTTCATATCTGTTTCAATGAAGAATAAGAGTTTGTATTTCTTTCATTTTTTCTGGTTCCGAGTAATTCAGGGAAAGGCAGAATTAGAGAAGTTGGGGAAAAGAAAGAAGTATATGAAGATAGATTTTGGAAGTTACAGATAAGATAAAATGATAAGGCCAGATGGAAAAGGGCATTGAGGTTTTAGAGAAATTTTTGAAGAATAGCTATAAAGAAACGTTCACACAACAGTATTAAATAGAGTAAGGGACTCAGGAAAACTGCGTCAGATAGACAAATAGTAAACATGTGTATCTTCAATGATTAAAAATTTTTTGCTGGGTGTTATATGCAACTAATGAATCATTGAACACTACATCAAAAATTAATGATGTGCTATATGTTTGCTAATTGAACTTAATAAAAAATTCTTCTAATCAAGGAGATACTATAATTGAAAATTTTTTATTCCAGATAAGATCTTTTGTATTATATCCAGGAAAATAATGAGAACGATTTGATGTGAATGTTAACAATGTTATTTTGACACGAGAGTCTCAGTTTGAATAATTACACATTTTTTTTATTATGACCTATTATGAGCAAACTATACCTATATTAGAATCACATAAAGGCAATACACATCAATTCTATGTTGTCCACCTTCTATGCCCGCTGATGTACTGAGGACCAATGGAGTCGTTGAATACAAGTTATTTATTTATACAATATGTACTGGTCAATCATTGGGAGGGCATCAGGAAGTAAACTGAGATGAATCAAGTCAAAATCTGGTTAAGAGATCTTCACCAGCTGCTCTTCCCTGTCTTCCTGGACTGCTAACCTGGCCTGGGTAAAAGATGTGGTCTAAATACACATGAAGTGCAGAACTTGAGCCTCCTCTGGCTTCATTCTGGATGAGACCCATACAACTACCATAGAGGGTGAGGGAGTTTCCCATTAAGCAAGAGTAGTGCTCATGGTGAAGTTTTCCTCATCATTACACAGAACTGTTTTGTGTTCTCTCTATACTTTTAATTATAACTGGAATGTTGAAATTATAACATAAAGATCAGTTGGTCTATTCATTCTTTTGGTTATTCATTTAATCAACTACAACTGATTTTCAATTTCAATACTGTATGTATGGGTCTGGATACTAGCATGAAACAGAAAATAAAACACATGGTGCTCACCTTCATGGAGGTGGCCATCTCCTAGAAATCAAACAAACCTAACAGGAAAATTACCGTAATTATTATCATGATGATTACAATGACAAGTTCTGGCACATACTGTGAAGAGGAGACAGGACCAGCTTCGTCAGGGCACAACCTGCATAGTCATTCAGGGGCTCCTGCTTAGAAGGGCCAGCTCTTGGGTTAGTGCTCTGCGGGCATCTTCTGAAATTGTACATAATTTTCCAATGGGGCTCCATATTCTCACTTTGCACTGGGCCCTGCAAATATGAAGCTGGCCTTGAGAAGATGCTACAGTAGTGAAAAACAAGGGGGTACCTAGGTTAGAGATTGTAATGAGGGAGCACTACCTCGGAGAAGGTCATTCCAATCAGGTTTCTCCTACATCATAAGCATAGGCTAAAAATAATCAGACCCAGCCCTTTCCCTGTTCCTAATCGCCCTGCAGCTCTGGCTAAACGGATGGCAGTCACAGAATGAACAAGTTAACTGGTAGGAGGCAGATAGGCATGTAATATAGTTCCAAAAGCTTTTTTTGAAAACTATGAAGAAATGTTTTTTAAAAATGGACAAAGGAGGGGTGCCTGGGTGGCTCAGTCATTTAAGCATCCCAACTCTTGATTTCAGCTCAGGTCTTGATCTCAGGGTCTTGAGTTCAGGCCTGTGTTGGGCTTCATGCTGGGTATGGAGCTTACTTTAAAATAAAATAAAATAAAATAAAATAAAATAAAATAAAATAAAATAAAACAAAATAAAATAAAATAAGATAAAATAAAAATGGACAAAGGATACAAAATTCACAAAGCAATAAATAAAATAGGCCAATAAAATATTAAAAGATGGCTCTCTCAAGAATCAGAAGTATAAAAAGTAACCCAATAACAGACAATGGACCTGTCAAATTGGCAATAAAAAAATATGATGTCCAGATTTAGTGTATGAGTCAAAGTTCTTGTTGTAAGAAATATAAGGTTTATCTGGGTTACACCAGGATAGTTTATAAGAAAGAAGTTAGATAACTCACAGAGTTGGGGAGGGGTATTAGAGAACGAGGCCTGAAACCAAGCATGACAGCATAGTGCCCCAAACCATGCTTAGCAATTGCCCTGAAAACTTTCCAACCAGGGAATGGCAGAACAGCTCCCACAAAGAAGGGTGGCAAGAAGGACCATTCCACTATCAACAAGGTAGTGAGCAGAGAGTCCACCATCAACATTTACAAGCCCATCCATGGAGTGGGTTTCGAGAAGTGTTTCTATCCGGCACTCAGAGAACTTCGGAAATGTGCCATGAAGGAGATGGGAATTCCAGATGTGCACATTGAAACCAGGCTTAACAAAGCTCTCTGGGCCAAAGGAATAAGGAATGTTCCATACCGTATCTGTGTGCGATTGTCCAGAAAATGTAACGAGGATGATGATTCATCAAACAAGCCCTCTACATTGCTTACCTATGTACCTGTCACTGCTTTCAAAAATCTACAGATAGTTACTATGGATGAGAACTAACCACTGGTTGTCAAATAAAGGTATGAAACTGCAAAAAAAAAAAAAAAAAAAAAATTAAAAATTGCCCTGAAAAGGAAACCACCACAAATGCTACCGTACCATGTAACAAAGGTAAAACCCATTTTCATTTCTTCTCCACATATGACACTTTCGGATCAGGAAACTTAAAACTACTTTACCCAACATCCTGACACTCATTCCATTACCACTTGCAGCACGGCGGATTTTGTAAAGGGCTTTCTTCCTCACACCACCTGTCACACATACAGCATTACTCATGTTGAAGAAAAAATGATAAATCGAACTTTTTTAGAGCTCAAAGTTTGTATTTATCAAAAGATATAATTAAGCCATGGGCTAGAAAATATATCTACAGCTTACTTGACAAAGACTTATAACCAAATATATAAAGAACTCCAAAAACCCACAATTAAAAGGAAAACAACACATTAAAAAAAAAAACCTTAAACATAGAATTACCTTATAAATCAGCAATTCCACTCCTATGTATCTACCCAAAAGGATAGAAAACAAGTACATGTCCACACACCTTTATAGCAGCACTATTCACAATAGCCAAAAGGTAAAAATAACCTAAATGTCCAAAAACAGATGAATGGATAAACAAATTGTTTTATACTTACAATGGACTATCATTTTGCCATAAAAAGAAATGAAGTAGTGTCATGCTACTCCATGGGAGAACCTCCAAAATACTGTTACTTATATTCTTAAACCCTTCCAAGGGTATTTTTAAGTGAAAAGAGTCAGACATGAAAGGTCACATATTATATGATTCAATTTATATGAAATATCTGGAACAGATCAATCTGTAGAGACAAGACACAGATCAGTGTTGGCAAAGGGTCAGGATGGGTGGAGAATGGGAAAATTGCTTAATGGGTATGGGGTTTGATTTGGATTGACAAAAGTGCTTTGGAATTACAGAGAGGTGTTGTAGAATATTGTGAATGTACTAGATATCACTGAATTACTCACTTTTAAATGGTTAATTTTATGTTATATCAATTTCACCTCAAAAATTATTTTTAAAATGTATCGTCAAAAGACTAATATACTTCACCAAAAAAAAGATATATGATATGATAGGCAACACACATGTGAAAGGACCATCACCATTATTAGTTATCAAGGAAATATAAATTAAAGCTTCAGCGAGATACCATTTTACACCCACTGAAATGTCTGAAATAAAAACAAAGTATGACCGAAAAACATTAAATATTAGGGAAATGTGGAGGAACTGACACTTTTCATATTTTGCTGATGGGAATGTCAAATAGTTCAGCCACTTTGAAGAAGGGGTTCACACTTTCTTATAAAGGTAAGCATACAGCGAGTGTATGACCCATCGGTTCCACTCTAATCATGTACCCAAGATACGTGAACACATATGTCCATAGAAATGACTTGTTCAGAAAAATTCATACCAGCTTAATTCATAAGAGCCCCAAACCAGAAAGAACGCAACTGTCCATCAGTAGAAAAATGGATTAAAACAACAACAGCAACAACAATCCCCTGTCATAGACCCATACAATAAATTACCGGTCAGCAAGAAAAATGAACACACTACAGATCCACACAACAGTGTGGATGAATCTCAACAAGGGCATTGTAAGAGAGATCGGTTGGGCACACAAAGGAATATAGTGATTAATTCATTATATAATGTCCATGAACTTCCACACTATACTGTCATATCAAAAAGAGGGTTTTTTTGGGGGGGGTGCATTAAAAGCGGAGGAAAGAATGATCTGAGGTGATGAAGTGCTCGATATCTTAGAGCGTTAGTTGCTTGAATATAAAGAATTTCCAAAATTCATAGGGCTGAACACTTAATGATTTGCACATATTTTACACTGACGATATTTTTCCTTTGTTAATCAGTGTGATTTTTTTCACATATTTCCAACACAACTGATTTTATGACATTAAATTGCTCTGGACAATAATGTCTTAGCTATCTATCGTTCTGTAACAGGATTATATATATCCAGTTTGAATATATATTTTGCTGTTTTTCTTTCAGAGAGGAGTATCATACCTGTGCCCAGTCTCATTTGGCACACTAATAATCATGCACCTGCTGATTTGCCATCATATGACATAATTTCCTAAAGTGCCACCTGCGATAGAACATATTGTACAGCCTCAATGTAAAAAACTTTATGAATATTAAAAACAAATGCTACTGCTTCCTCATATGTACTTGGCTTCACATTCTACTCGCCGTGCATAACCCAGGTGTTGATTTAAAATTCAGTGGCGCAAAACGATTATCTATCATTCTAAATTATCTCATATTCTTTTAATCCTTGATGCCTCTAAGACCGAAGCCTGGAAAACACTTCCTTTCCAATTGACCATATAGCACATTTTGTCATTAAAAGCTGATGCTGCATCATTTGGAATTTCATTCTAAACAAAGATTCATAAGTGAGCCTTCTAGCAGCTGCCTTGTCAGGTTTGTGAAAGGGAAAAATTAAATCTACTATATTTATTCCAAGCTTCCTCTGTAATGGATCTCATATGAGAGCTTAATTTTATTTTCTGTTTATCAGAAATAAGGCCTATCAAAGACACGGTATGAAGGTAATTACATAAAGCCATCACACAGATGGTGGATAATAATAAGAAATTGTTGATGAAAATCTGTCCCTTTAACAAGCAAAGAGAAATGGCATTTGACTCTCCTTCTTATAAAGGATAATATCAAGCACTTGGTTGTACTTCCACTTAACCAGAAAAAAGAGATCTGGCACTGCTAGTAATTTGAAGGGGTGAAACATTGCACAGCCCTTCCTTTATTCTATCAGCATAGCCGAGAGTGATCGATAGAGAATGCATAGATGATAGGTAGATAGATAGATAGATAGATAGATAGATAGATAGATAGATGATAAATATGTAAGTACATATATGCATGCATACATACATACATAGACAGATAGATACATAATTAAAATCGTCAAACAGAATGCTACCACACACTCATGAACAGTCTTCTACGAGTGACATTTACCCTTCTTAAACAAGTTTTTTAAAGTTAACTTCATGGATTCGGATTGTGGCATTGGCCAGTGACTTAATTTTTAGTCTCATTTATGGTGTTACTGTTAAAATGGTAGATGTGAAAAATCATTAGTTCAAATATTCATTCATTTCTTCATTTAGAAGTATGTTTAAAGAGACTGACATGTTCCAGGCACTATGGTAGAAGAGTTAGTTGTGAATAAGACCACCTGGGATTCTACATGGAACCTGCTGAGTGGCACACAGAAAATGAACAGATGGATATAAGTCTCTGAGATGAGATTAAATTCATCAAGCATGTATTCACTCAGTCAGTATTTACTGAAGACTTACTATCTGCCAACCCGAGGGGGGAGAGTGGGACTGAAAGGAGACAGCCATGGGGAGATTCAATCCGGGGAGACTAGAATCACCGTTTTCAACCTCCCCAAATTTAAGTGTGTTAATATAAGTAAAGTTCTCACCACTATGATTGTCACTTATTAGGCATAAAATTAATACTAGTTACAACACTAGAAGTGTAAGTTGTAACTCTTAAGCCCTTTTTCCTAGTTTACATTTGTACCGCCACCACTCTGCCTTTAGGGAAAAAACCAAATGGTTGAAACAACCACAAAATGAACAAAATTTCTAGTATTATTTATTGTGATATATTCTGAGATAATGTCATTAATAATCAAGTGGAAATAGTCAAAAATAATGATCAGAAAAGCAGATGGCATCAACAGTGCAAAATGGGAATGAAATTTATTAGTTAAGATACATTTTAATGTTATATTTAGAATATTGATGTGCAGACAAATGTGTGTAGACAATTGTTCAGAGCATTTTTTTTAATTATTGAGAGACCCACTCCCTATCAAATGCCAATTTGAATCAATCACTTAGAAAGATAATTGGTATAAAGGTAAGAATGAGGGACCATTAAATCAATGCAATGTTATTATAATAATTTAAAAAATGTAATTTTAGAATGACTTATGATAGATTTTCTTAATCTTGACGCCGTTGGCCTTTGGGGTCAGGTAACTATTTGGGGAGTTCTGTTTTGTGCATTGTACGTATTTAGCAGCATCCCTGACCTGTATCCATTAGGAGCCACTAGCGTCCCCCCTGCAGTTGTGACAACCAAAAGTGTCCCAGAGGAGCAATATTGCCACCTATTGTGAACCACTATGAAGCAATGATCAAGAAGAATAGGTGTATAGGCCTCTGTAACTTAGAAAACCAGAAGTCTTCGAGAAATGGTTCATGCATAAGAATCTCTGCCTGACCTGATAGAAACCATAGCTGAGCATGACTAGGGAAAAAAAATCAAAATGTTAATTATTTAGATTTGGTGTTCTGAAACCATTTGAATATAACCTGAAATACATGCACAGGCTGAAACAAATGAAAGCAGTCAGAAAAATCTCCAGAAAATGAAAAAATGGTGAATATTTTTAAAAAGTGAGCAATCCTATAATTTAGTGATAATAGAGAATCTTAATTATGAATTTTGTTTCTTTCCGCACATGTCTAAATGTTGTACTTCTTGGATTACAAATATAAAGCAAAGTTATCAGATATAAATTTTGTCTATGCAATCATATTTTGACTTTCTGTTAAAATATCAAACATATGTATGCAAAACAGGTTAGTGTCCCCTTTCTCAATTATCTGAACAGCGTTCATCTCTACAAACTAAACTTAATGAAACACCTGGTGTCTTTAAGAGATTTAAACAATTTTCCAGGCATTTTATCAGTAATTTCCACTCATTTCAAGTACAGAAATTTCCCGACTGGTTAGGACTTATTTATGTTAATTGTAACTTTCACTTAAAGTATTTTTAAGGTGGGCAGAGAGAGCAGTGTGAAGTTCCTACCAATTCTTTAGTTTTAAGAAATAAATTAAAATGACAGACACATCAGTATTGTTAACATAAAGATATTAAAACAAAT